CCGGATGAACCATCTTGCACAGGTTATTTTTCTAAGGATCTTGTTTTGGCATTGGTTTAATTTCTTCAGTAGATGTTGAGGTATCGTTGTCCAGGCAGGTGAGGCATAGGTAAGTATTGGGCGGATCATTGCTGTATATAGTAGCTTCTTTAGTTTAAGTGACATATTCTGATTATATATTAATGGTTGTATGGCTAGTATTGCTGCATTTGCTTTATCTATTGTGCTTTTGATGTGATCATTCCAGGTGAGTTTGCTATTGATTATAAGGACAAGATAATTTGCTTTTTTAACTATTGGTATTGGTATGTTGAACATTTTTGGTTGAAGTTGTGGAAGTATTTTAATTCTTCTTTTTTGTATAATTAATATTTGTGATTTTCCAGCATTTACTACAGTTTTCCATTTTAAGCACCAGTCTTCTATTTCGTTTATATGGTCTTGTAGTTTTTGAAGAGCATGATTTGGGTTTCTGGATTCAATAATAATACCGGTATCGTCTGCGTAATAGGCTGTTATGCTGTTATAATCGGCTTTGCTTATAGGTGAAATTTGCAATCGTAAAAACTGTGTTGCTTTTATGTATTTGTTGTCATTATTTTTATGTTCTGGTGGTCAAACTTATTTATAATTATTATTATACTTCAGAAACTTTAATGAAATAACATGAGTTTCGCTACCACTTTAAATTAATTTAAACTGTGAAAACTAATTAAGAAATTGCTAACTTTCGTAGTTTTTAAAATATTGAAATCGGACTATTCTATTAGTTGCGAAATACGATTCACTACAAAATTATGAAATAAAAATGTTATTTTTTTCGTGCATGCGCAGTGTAAAAAACTACTTTAATTACTCATATCTTGCGCAGTTTTAACACATTTTCTCAGACTTTAAAGCAATAATTGTTAAACTAATATTAAATTGCCCCAAAAATTCTGTTTCATTTATTGAATATTTTTAAACTTACTACAATAAACCGTAAAATAAAAATAATTAATTTTTTAAGAAATATATACATATATCTATACATATTTAAAGCTTGGTTTACGAAATTTTGTGTAATCATTTACAAATAACATATACAATTTACAAGTTTATTGCTCCACTTTTTGGAATAGGGTGTTCAAAAACAATTTTTTCCGTTTATCATTTACTGCCGGTCCCTCAAACCTATAAAAGCTTTAAACTTCATTGATTAGTGTGAGAAATCGCAAAACCTTTAACACTTCTAAATTTATGAAAAGAGTTTCTAAATATTGGAGAGAGATAAAAAAATGTGTTAGTATAGAAGTTTTTCCATTATTTTGTCCAGCTCTTGTATATATATACATATATATCCTATTATTCAACATTGATATAAATGTAACATGAAAAATAGTGAGAAATTAAAAAGTTTAAAGTAAATCGTGATTTACTTTGCGAAATGTATTTTTGACTTCAAATGACATATTACTTCAAATAACATTTTGTTTACAAATGACATATTTAACTAATTAACATCTAAGCCTTTTATGGAACTAAAATAAAACAAATGACCACAGAAATTATAAAAAAAAAACTTTATAAATTCAATAAAAAATAATATTAGATACTCATCTATCTAACTGATAGTTCAGCTTTTTGTAGCAGAGTGGCGCTAAAACCGCTTGGGACAAACTGTTGTCATTTTGGCGTGCATCGATAACAAGAAGGCGTCGTCTTTTCATATATTCTATCATTACAGAAGAAATTCTTTATATATTTCTCTGTGTTTAATACTATTATTTCGCTTGTGTAATTTTGTGACACAGCAACAATCATTTTACCAACTAGTTTAATTTGTTGATAAATCTTAAAATTTATTGATTTGATAGAATAAAATAATTGAATTTTCAGCGATTTTTATCTTTAAAAAAAATCACGTGAGCTGCAACGTTCAACGAGTTAAAATATGAGTCTAAACAATAGGCTTAGCAACAGAATAATCATCATAACCGTAACTTTATTTCGTGAAGTAGAAGTAGATATCATTTTTTTAACACCTAAGTTTTCACACCATTATTTCGTTTGCGTCTACAACAATCATTCTATCCACTCTTTCAATTTATTTGACTAAATCATTATAAATGTTTCGGCTGATCCAAAGTAAGATATTCATAGATGCGAGGAAAAAAACTGCGAGAGACAGAAAAATAAAGTATGAGAATCATAAAACACGAACATTGCATTATCTCTATGCAAGGCGAAAGTGAACGATTTAATCTACAAAAGACATGTTAAATATGGATGATTCTTTGTTCTAGATCAGTTTAGAATTACTGACAATTAAATGCAAGCTACAGGGGATGGTTGACTTATTTGGACTACTTAAACATTCTTCTATGTACACTGCGTGTAAAATCTAACTGTTGAACTTTTGATCTAATAATCGGAATTTTAGGTACCTTAGCAGATGAAAAGTCGGGGGTTAATTTAGATTTATTATTGTTTCCCGAAACCACAGATTTTCACCTGATTTTTTGAAAAAGTTCTGCAACAATTTTTATCCTTTGACACAAAATTTCATTAAGCATATTTTTCAACCTTTTTATACTATTTTTTATTAATTTAGGTCAGAATAAGTGACAAATTTTAAAATTAGCATTTAAAAATTTATGGTTATGAAACATCAGTCTCTTTTTCTGCGTTAAAGGTGAAATCTTTCAAACGCAGCTTATTTTTAAACAGTAATTTTTTAAATAGGCACTTATTTGTAGTTATTTAGATCTAAAAGTAACTGTAACTCCCCTATGAATTTTTTTTTTACTTCACAAAATCAATTATTAAATGTGAAAGAATGATTAAATATACGAACTATCAATTAATAAATCATTTTAAATATGAATGTAAAAAATATTCAAACTTAAAAAATTCAACAGAAAAATATGAACCCTATAATTTTGGCATGAGAGCTATAAAAATGTTTTGCTCATATATATACCTGCTAATTTCTACTCAAAATGTCGCAGATTTAAAGCTCATAAAGATTTAAGTTGAAAATAACAATTGTTTCTAATAAGCAATAATTCGACAATAATAAAATTAATGAAAATTTACGTTTTCGGGCAAAAGTTCACAAATCGAATTCGTGTGAAAAATTTTTTTTTAAAGAAGAAAACTAGAAAGTTTATATTTAAGTTTAAATGCAAAGTTTACTTTTGATGCACTCGTTCTAATTTGCTCTAAAATGTAGAGTCATGAATCATAAGAATATCTACTAATAAATATATATGTATAGATAATTGACCATGAGTCTTAACAATGATAATTTTATTTTTAAAAGTAAGATAAAAATAATTATGCATTAAATAGGAAAGAATTGGCTTACAATAAACTTACATTGCGACTTTTTTGAAAAATTTGTTTTTTTATTTAAAAAAAAAATTGATATAACAAGGCCTAAAGAAGAAACTCTTCGACGTAGGAATTCAAATAAATATTAGGTGGATATATAAGGCCGCGTAAAAAAATATTTTTTGACATAAGAAGGTTTTCAAGATTTCTAGTGTAAACTGTATTATAAAAAATTTTTTTTTTCCTTCAAAATATTGTTAGGTAAAATAGTAAAATAAATAAACGGCTTCCATATTTTTCGCTAAGTTACAAAGTGTCTTTCTGTTTAATTTGTTTAAGTTTTTCTTACTTGCAAATTAATATTACAGCTTTTTGAAGCCAGAGTAACAAATAATCTTATATTTATTCTCATTACTTAGGAAGGGCATGCAGACAATCTTGGATTAATGCCAGTGACTAATGTATTGACACAAGTGCCCTACCTAGATGATTCAGTCGACATCAAAGATGAGATTTACCTTGATGACATAATAGACAATATGTGCTCTTTCTTTCGATACAATGGCTCCCTAACGACGCCAGGATGCACAGAAAATGTTATTTGGACGATTTGCAGCGACGTTCATAAAATTGGTCATAACCAGGTATGCCACATCAGAAAACTATTCTTTCAATTAATAATATTACACGCAATTAATTTTATAATCGATATGAGAATTAGTTTTTAAAATATACAAGGAGACTAAAAATAACTATATTGTAATTTGAATGCTTAGTAAAATATCACAACCAAATTTTCAAAGCGCTATTAAACAACATTATCTGTAAGATATTTACAAATTAAGGTGACCACTTATGACAGTAAAGCAATGCTGTAAACACATACACTCACTCATCTATTGATATTTTGGCCAATTTATTGCACTAAGTTAAAGTTTAGTTTTATACAATTTTACCACCAATCGTTATTCGAAGATGCGGCTCACTTTTGTCTCCAAGATAGACATAAAGGAAAAATTTTTAGAAAAGAAGTTTGATCCTTTATCTTTAAAAGGATCTCTACAAAAATATTTGTCACCACTTTTCCCTGTTCCCCTCCCCCCCCCAAAAAAAACAATCGAAAACATTAGTTTTCGGTTTCATTTTTTAGCCATAACTACGAAATTTTAAGTTTAGAAACTATGTTACGCTGATTCTCAAGAGAAACCATTTTCGGTTGATTTGAGAGGGCTATAACATTTTTTGTTCATTATTGTTTTTAAGGTTAGACGGAAACTTTTTATTTAACGTTGATTAAACCCAATTCCTGTTTGAACTTATGATAAAAATTCTTTTAAAAAACCCTTTGAGTCAGGCCAAAAAATGGGATTAACATAAAAATTAAAATTTTAATATTTTAAAATCAAAATTTCTGATATCTGAAAAATTGGATAACGATTTGGAGAATTTACTTGGACAAACTTCAAGTGCTTTAAAATTTAGACTTAAGGAACAGGATAGATATGCCCGTTATCAAGAATTCGGAAACTAATCCTTTGCTGCTCATTGTTGCAATCTGGGCATAACTTCAATTTCGAGAATTTTTTTTTAAAGATATCATTAGAAAAATATACTTTCTAATTAAACTATTCATAATTTAAAATAAAGATAAACTTTCTCATTTTAACGAAAACTGTTAGACATGTTCAAAAGTAATGATTAGTTAGCGCTCTTGGCAAATTTGTAAAATATGTCCTTGTTCACTCTAACCCCTTCTGTCTTACATGTATATTATTCATGTATTGATTTCTTAAAATATTTTTTCTTTCTGATTGTTTTTAGATAGCTGAATTCAGGAAACTATATTCTGTAAGATATGAGGATGCTAACATTAGTCGATGTACAATATCGAACAACTTCAGGCCTATTCAGCCTTTAAACGGAAGGCTTGTTGTTTCATCTACTTATTTTGGATCTTTCTGATTTCTGTCAAAAACATTGTATTTATAAAAGTAAATCACATATTTTTTTGTGTTATGCATTTCCTAAATATAAACAGTATTAAATGAATATTTGAGATGATTTGTGTTTCTTAAATTGAGGTCTCTGTGTATTTGTCCTTTTTTTCTTCTCAAATTTTTCTTCAAATTCTACAAATGCACATTTGCCAAAATTAATAATGGTTCCCCATAATAACTTTTCATTTTACTGTTGCAATTTTAATGGTTTTAGAGGGGAACATTATAATTATTCTTAAATTGCAAAATCTTTTAAACAAAATCTTTCCAATAAATGTGCAGCAAAAATTGAGAATTCGGATCTATGCTTATATAATTTAACATGATGAGCATACCCTCCAACTATAACGGAATGTTCCGTAGTTTATAATTTTTTTTTCTTTTCCATTGCTAGTAAAGACAACTTAAAAATATTTTAATGAATTACTAGTGAGCCATGATGGTTCAGGGGATAGAGCGGTAGCCTTTCAACGAGGTGAACCGGTTTCGAATCCCAGCGATGGTGTGTCGATACAAATCCGCATCAGGCTTGCACCGACCACTGTGCTGACATGAAATATCCTCAGTGGAAGATGGATCAAAGGTTAGAGTCCCTTGGCCGTCAGGCTAACTGTGGGATGTTCTCGTGGTCTTCCCCTCCATGTAACGCAAATGCGGGTTAGTTCAATCAAAAATCCTCCACGAAGGCAAATTTCTCCCAATACTTAATCTAAGAGTTCCCTTCTCTTCTGGATTGGGATCAAAATTACAAGGCTACGGAGTTGAACATTAAAAGTCGTAAACTCGAAAGTTGGGTCAGCTGTTCAATGACGGTTATGAAATAAGATAAAATGAATTAGAATTAAAAGAAATAAATGAATTAGAACTGGAATTAAAAGAACTTTTTCTGCAATTCCTATGAATAATTTAAACAGCATATTAAAAATCTAGTAGGAAGATGGTCATGCTCTAAAATCTTGATAAAGATCATGTAAAAATTGTATTTCTCTTAAAGAGCCAGTAATAATTATATTCCACCACTAATAAATTTCTCACCACTTATAAATATATTTCTTGCAAAACTAAAATGTTGAAGAGTACGCCTTGTGAAAATTTCTAATCTTTGTAGGTAAAACTTTTTTCGAAAGTTTTCATATGAAAAATAGGAATCAATTTTAGTTTGAAGAAAGCGTTTATAAACGAGTTTCATATTAGCATTCAAGAAATATTTCAATTTGTGTGATTAGTCCCAGATAGGGAGAGTATACAAATATAATGTATACAAATGGAATATTTCTATTTGAACTTCTGTTTCTGTTCTCTGTAAATTTTGACAGATGGGTAAAACTGTTAACCCTTTAATGGGCCCTTTATTTCTAGTAAAGGTAAATTAAAGCATTTTTGGAATTGAAATTGTTTTAAGAACAGTAATTGATATAAAAAAAAACTCCTTTAGTTTATAAAAATGCCATTTTTTTGGTGGTAAATATATTTAACATGACCTATTAGGAACTTACTGACTTTTATTTTTCTTTATTTATAAAATAAATTCCTTAAATGCTACAAACTTCGAAAGGAATTATGTATTTTATAACTTTTATACGTTTTTTAAAAGTGACAAATGGTTACCAATTTTATTCAAACTCACTTCAAGAAAGCTGAAGTTATTGAAAAATGGAAACCTAAATTAAAAGTATTAAAACGTGGTGGAAAGTATACTTACCACGGCCTTCAAAAGGGTTAAGAAGTGTCCGCTCTAGTCTCTCGACAAAGGGCTACTAGTGTCAAAAACAACTCTTTCTTTAATAAAAAGATTATTTTAAAAAAGTTTGCTCTAAATTATCCTACGTATCATTCAACATGAAGATCAACGATCAAATTTTTATGAAAAAGAATAGTAGTTTATTTAAAATAACGCCTACTGCAATTGAAAGCCTCCAAATGGTATCTGATAGTAGTCCGATCTGGCCACTACGTAAACAAGCCAATTTACGAAAGAGCCATTTAATAAAAATATAGTAAAAAATAAGAAAGTGGTAGCAAATATATGTCTAAAATGTTTTTAATTTATGAATATGATTGGTTTGGTAAATGCGTAGCACCTGTTTGTTGAAAGACTTCATGCAAAACTTCAATTCGACAAAAATGGCACCAATTTGTGAGTCAGATACCATTGCATTGTTTCATATACAATTTTATTCTTATTAAATTTTTGGTAACTATAACAATTTGTTATATATATGATTTGTTATGATATTTGTTATGCAAAATGATATTGTAATTGAGCGAAAAGTTAATTCCTAAGAAGGTTTACAATAATCTTAATAGTATATAGATATAATAAACAAAGCTTACACTCTTTCTCTTATCACTTATTATCCTACTTCCCAGAAAGTTAAAAAGTTAAATTTTGAGCCATGAGATAAATAAAAAAATTTTAAGAAATTCCATTTTGATATTTTGTAATTATTGGGGTAATTAGCTACATAACACGTTTTTATCAAGCCAGAAGTTTTAAATTTGAACCATAAGTTCCTTTTTAGATATAAAGGAAAATCAAAAAACTTTCACTATTTTGCAACTATCGGAGTAATGTAATGCAGAGTGTAATTGGCCCAAAATTGACTGAAATGCTATTGGACATGTTTTTACGCAGTTCAGTGGCAGTTTTACACATGACCGTTTCAAATTTGGACAATCTGTGTTTTCTATGAAATAAATGGAAGAACTAAGAAAGTTTAACACATTTCTATATTTGGAATTTCGATTATTGGGGTAATTTGGCAGTAATTGTCCTATTTGGCAGTTATACTAAATAACAATTTTACAAAAATAGAAATATCAAATTCTAACAATGCTTTCCTTATCAGATAAAAGGAAAAATTTACATTTTGATATCAGTATTTATCGGGGTAATTAAATTGAACGCTAAGTAATATATTTTTATTGAAAGAAATCGTAAATTTAGACCATGTGTTTTTTAGTGAAATAAAAAAGTAAATATTTTTTATTGCAATATTTGTAAATATTGGGGTAATTGGAAATCTGCAGTATTGAATTGTACAGTATATAAATTTCCACATCATTTTAAAGAAAGTTATTTTAAATGTCAAAATACGAAATTTGAGTGAAATGTGTGGAATTGTACCCGAGAAATCAAATTTTGAAAAAGTCGTATTTTTAAAACTCGATTTCTCAGGAATTATTCGACAGATTTTGATCAAATTTCGCATTTTGCATTTTAAAATATCCAAAAATAATTCCGCACAAAAAAGAATTTTGAATAATCCTTTGTTTATTATTTTTTTAATAATAGCAACAAAAAAAAATTACATTTTAAGGTATAGAAATTTTACATTATTTAGAAGAGTGTAGTTTTATAAGACAAAATAAAAAATTTGAACAAAATCGGTTGAATAGTTTCTGAGGTATCAAATTTTAATAAAGTCGTATGTTTATAATTTAATTTCTCATCAATCGTTGAAAAAAAAGTATGTTTATTCAGAGAAAGTGCGTTTTTGTGTCTGCTTTCATAACTTAAAATATCGTCTGCACTAAATAATTAACAAAATTAAGGTCATTCAGTCGAACCGTTAAGATTGAGTCCTAGTACATGAAAATCCGATAATTAGATTAAAAGTTGTTCAGGGTAGTTCTTTTTTTACGAACTCTACATATATAGGTATATCATTAGTAGCTAATATTTGTTAATTAAGGTATAAATATTTGTAATTTAAGATAAACTCTTTTTAAGGTTAAACAAATTTAAAAACTTCAGCGTGCGAAAGTTTTTAATTTTTATAATTTCTTTTCTCAATCCGGCATCAAGAAAAAGTGTTTATTCTTTCGATTGAAGATTCGAAAAGTGTTTATTCTTTCGATTTACAGTACAGTTTCATTTAACGTAAAACTTGTGTGTTTTCAGAAAAATTTAAGGTATTGTTAATTACTTTTTTAAGGTTTTGTTAAGTACTTTAAATTCTTCTGGTAAAGTTAGGTATTTTAAGAGAGTGTTAAGTAAGACATTAATGCACAGCTATGTTGTGTTTACATGAACAATATAAAATTTTCGAGGTACTTAATAACCCCGATACCAAACAACATTTGAGTTTTGTGCGAAATAGAATTATCAGTAGTGTTTAAATTTTTTAAACATGCCGAAATAATACAATTGTTAATTTTTTGGAACGCGAACATTTCTCAATCTTGCCTCTAATATCTTACCTCTAATAATATAAATAATCCATGGAAATTATTTGCATGGCGTGATGGACAATTTTTCTGAAATTTTAATTTCTTAAATTATTAGAGCATGCACAACCTTTAGTATCAATTGAAAAATTATTTTCTGAAACTAAAGAAATTCTGCAATAGCTATTAATTACTTTAATTTAAAACTAATTATTTTGGGCACTTAAAATTTAGACAAAATGGAGGTGTGGGGGATCGAACCCCAGGCCTTTCACATGCAAAGCGAACGCTCTACCACTGAGCTACACCCCCGCGGCTATCAACTCAGTGTTATATTCTGTATTCAAAAGAAATAATATACCTCACTGACTAATGAATAATTTATAAATGGAATGACACCTGCTGTTGGCAAATATGACTCTGATGGAAAACGTCCATCCCAGAGATTTCGATTTTTGCGTACTAAGTCCCAATCTGAAATATGCTATTTTCTTTTTGCAGAACGATATTTTTGGCGTATGCGTAGGAGCCTTTTAGACAATCTTAAAAATTTTTGAACTCGTTTATACAAAAAAAAAACATTTTTTTTTTACTTTAGAAATATTAGATTATACCTATTTATTGCTTTTTTTTATTATTATTTATTTCAATACAGGTCTAAAAATTTTAAACTATTATATGCATAAATATTTTTGAAAAATATAAGTTTAAAAAAAAAAACTTTTTGGAACTTTTGTAACCCTCTGCCAATTTTCTTTCAATTTTGTATTTTGCAGTTACATTGTTAATCATAACGTAAAAATGCATGTTCCTTGCAGTTCAAAAAACTTTTGATCGTCATTAAAAAACGCTGAAATATTGCCTTTTTTTTTCTTTTTAAGGAACCTGTTTTCC